ATGTCGATCCCTTTGTATTTGCTTAAGTTCCTTGCATGAACTATGATATGGTCTATTTTGGAGAAAGTTCCGTGAGCTGCTGAGAAGAATGTGTACTGTGTTGTTTTAGGGTGAAATACTCGGTAGATGTCAGTTAATTCTGCTTGAAGTATGGCCTCTCTTAATTCGGTAGCTTCTTTGCCAATCCTCTGGTTGGTAGACCTGTCCTTTGGTGAGAGTGGCATGTTAAATTCTCATATTATTATCATATTGGGATCTATTTTATTCTGTATGTTTGAGAACATTTGTTTGACATATCTGGGTGCACCAATATTTGGGGCATATAAGTTGATGATGGTTATATCCTCCTCTTGGATTGTTCCCTTTATTAATATGTAGTGTCCGTCCTTTTCTTTCTGTACTGATTTTAATGAAAAGTTTATTTTGTCAGATATCAGGATAGCTACACCTGCTTTCTTACTGGGGGCATTTGATTGGTAGATCCTTTTCCACCCCTTCACTCTGAGTTTGTTTGTATGTTTGGCTGAGAGGTGGGTCTCCTGAAGGCAACAGATGGATGGGTCTTGTTTTCTGATCCAGTCTTCAGTTCGTTTTCTTTTAATTGGTGAATGCAGCTCATTTATATTAAGAGAAAGTATAGAGAGATGCATTGTTGTCCCTGCCATTCCATTTTTCAATGTTTTTCTTCTTTCCTTTCCTCCTGTGCTTGCTCAGTTAGACTTTGAGTAACACCTGTTTGGGGCAGGCCCCAGTTCCTGGTTACTTTCTTCAGGTTGTGTCCTCCCTCTTATAATTCTTTGTAATGCTGGCTTAATGTTTATGAAAATACGTTTATTTTAAAAAAGAGCCTTTCGAATTAAAAAAGAGAGAGAGAAAAAAATTGCATGTTAGATATGAAAGAAAAAGTCCCTAAAAATTCACCAAATAAATGTTCTGGGCATCATATTCTTACACAATAGATTTCCTGTTCCTCTACTCATTTCTAATGAGATAGTGTTCAAGAGATTCCCCATATTCTCTAGACTTTCTTTACCATTGGTCACATCTGTTGGAAATGGTCGTGGAAGTTCAGTGGTGCTCATCAGTATCAACAATTCTCTGTGTTTGTCACACAGAAGTTCTGTTTCCATGCACATTGTCACTGCACTTCCAGGTGACATGATGAGCATGCCCACACAGGAGATGAGATCACACAGTCCTGAGCCTTTATCTTAGGTCTCCATGGCTGAGCACACATGCTGTGACCACTGTCTTGGCTCCTCTGTCCTGACAGCCAATTCTTACTGGGTAAGCAGCTATTCTTCTCAGACAATTGAAAGTAGTAAATGGAACTCATCAAGAAAATACAGAAGGAACTTCTCTGTAAAATGTGTGTGCTGTGTGGGGTTCAATTGGGAACATGTCTTGAATTTTAGGAAAAATTTTTGGTGAGAGTAACAGGCCTCTCTCCGGCCTCGTTTAACAGTCTTGGTGCAGTTCCACATCCCTTCATATCCTGGAGACCACACAGTTTTGTATGCTCAGGGGTAGAGGATTCTCTGCTGAAATGATCTAACACACCTCCATGTTATATGTATATATATGTATATATATGTATAAATGTGTATATATATGTGTGTGTATATATATATATATATATATATATATATATATATATATATATATATATATATATATATATATATATATATAATTTTTATTTTTTCTGAGCCCTGGGGCTTGAACTCAGGGCCTATTCACTGTTTCTGAGCTTCTCTTTTGCCTAATTAAGTGTTCTACTACTTGAGCCATAGTGCCACTTCTGGCTTTTCTCAGTAGTGTATTGGAGATAAGAGTCTCAGGGACATTTCCTGGCCAGGCTGGCTCCTAACTGTGATTCTCTGCTCTCAGCTTCCAATTGGTTTGGATTAGAGGCACCTGCCACCAGCACCTGTCTTCTTTGGATGTCTTTGAAATTGCCAGAGTAAATTCAGTTTATACTTGTTTGCTGGTACATTTGTCAGATGTTTCTTTTACAAAGTGAACTTTGTGTACTACTTCTGTTTCCATCTCATTTTACAACATGTCTCTGCTATTATTTAATTCTGGTGTGAATGTATTAAGACATTGTGCTGGGCTGGGAAGGTGGCTCAGTGGTAAAGTGCTTGCCTTGCATGCATAAGGCCCTGGGTTCGATTCCTTAGCACCACATAAGCAGAAAAAGCTGGAGGTGGTGCTGTGGTTAAAATGGTAGAGCGGTAGCTTTCAGCGGAAGAGCTGAGGGACAGTGTCCAGGCCCAGAGTTCAGGCTCCCCACATAGGACAAAAAAAAAGACATTGTGCTTTTCATAACCTAGCGTTGGTTTAAAATTTTTAACTGTTTTCATCCAAGATAATCTCCTTTATTATAAGCAGTGTTGCTTTTCATGCTCAGGACTGTAAGCCTAGCTATTCAGGAGGCTGAATTCTGAGGATCCGGATTCAAAGCCAGCCTCTTATCTCCAATCCACTAGCAAAATTCAGAAGTGGAGCTGTGGCTCAATGTGGAAGAGCACTAGACTTGAGCAAAATGAGCTCAGAAACAGCACCAAGGCCCCACTAGTGACAAAAAGAGAGAAAGCAAAAAGATATAATGTTTCTTATAAGCAAAATGTTGGTTGAGGACTGGGAAGGTGGTTCAGATATAGACTGCTTACCACACATGTATGAGGCCCTGCATTTTATTCCTCAGCAACACATAAGCAGAAGGAGCTGGAAATGGCACTGTGGGTCAAGTGGTAGAGCCTTTGCCTTGAGCTGAAGAACTGAGGGGCAGGACCCAGGAAGGGAGTTCAAGCCACACGACCAGCAAAAAAAAATACTGGTAATGTTTTAATATTCTGTCAAATAATTGTGTGTATCACTACTCATGCTATCAATTAATAATATTTCATGGAATCCTTTTTTTTCTGTTGGTTCTTGGGCTTAGCCTCAGGTACTTGGTGCTGTGCACAAGACTGTTTGTGCTCAAGGCTAGTGCTCTACCTCCTGAGCCACAGCCTCACTCCTGGTGTATGAGTGGTTAATTGGAGATGAGAGTCTCATGGGGACTTTTCTGCCTGAACTGACTTCAAACTGTGATCCTCATTTAGCTGGCTTGGCTGAACATGTTCATCCTTGTTTTCTTTTCATGCTCTTTTTTGTGTCACAATAAATTCCATGATTTCCTTGATATGGAAGAGATGGCCAAAGCCGACATTGAAATGGGGCTTGCCTTCCTCACTCAGACTGCAGCTGGGGTCCTAGGGAACTCCGGTCTCCTTTGTTTTTATAGCCACACCCTCCTCACCAGACTGAAGGTGAGGCTCACAGACCCCATTCTCAGCCATCTGGTCATTGCCAACAACTTGGTTGTTTAATCCTCTAGGATCCCTCAGTCAATGGCAGGATTTGGATGGAAGTACTTTCTGGATGATGCTGGATGTAAAGTTCTTTTGTATTTATTCAGAGCAGCCAGAGGGGTTTGTCTTAATGCCACCTGTCTTCTGAGTGTCTTCCAGGTCTCAAAGCTTTGCACTAGAAATGCTTGGTGGAAGATCACTACTAGATTCTCCAAGTGCTTTGGTGTCTGTGGTTCCCTTTTCTGGATCCTGCAGCTCCTAGTAAATGTTTATATGCCTCTGACAGTGATTGGTCCAGCACACAAACAAAATGTCACTCTGCACATGTGTTTTAGATACTGCTCCCCAGGCCTGCTAGAACCCTTTCCAATGTTATTACATGTTGTTTATTCTTTTTAATTGGTGTTATGTGTTTGGTTTTCATGATGTGGGCCAGTGGCTCTATGGTCTTTGTTCTGCGCAGACACAAGCAGTGGGTCCAGCACATTCACAGCTGCATTCCCTCCCAAAGACCTGGCCATGAAGACAGGGCCACATATACCATCCTGACCCTGATGAGAATGTTTGTCTCCTATTGTCTGTCTGCCATTTTCACTCTTTGCTGGTGGACACATCTGTGTTTCTGGGTGTGTGTTTCTCAGTCCTGAGTCCCTTTGTGCTCATCAATAGAGACACTCGTATCACTCAGGTGTTTCATTTGTGCACTGAATAAAAGATTTTCACAATTCGGTTAAACCAAGCGATTACAATTAATGTCCAGTTGGCTCATAGTTTTGCTTTTGCAGCAGTGCATTTACACATTACACTCTGCACTGATAAGGCAGTGGCTCTACGTAGAGTCTCTGCACTAGTGCTTTTTTACTCTGATAATTTTTGAGTTTTACCCTTGCTTTGTACTGAGGTCACCCTTCACCCTCATACTCCTATTGTGTTTCCTGAAGTACCAGGGATGAAAGATATGAATGTAGATGCTGAAATTTTATAGTTTAGATAGAGTCTTTTGGAATTGTTTTTGCCCAGGCTGATCTATCACTGCAACCATCCCAATCTCATCCTCACACATGGCTGGGATAATGGTGTAACCCACCACAGCCAGCTAGTATTGGAGGGGGGAATCTTGTGAACTGTTTTCCTGGGGAGGCCTTAGATCTGAATCTTCCTGATTCAACCTTGCATGTGTGAGCCACTGCATCCACTTTGGATCATTCTTTGAGTAACGTTATTATTATTACTAGTCGTCATCGTTGTAGTAGTAGTTGTTGTTGATGACGATGTTGTTGTTGTTCTTGTTCTTGTTGTGGTGGTGGGGCTGGAACTCAGGACCTGGGCAATTCTCTGGAGCTCTTGTGCTCAAGGCTAGCACTCTACCATTTTGCCACAGCTCTACTTCAGATTTTTTTTCTGAGTAGTTTATTCGAGAGAGGAGTGTCATGGACTTTCCTGCCAGGCTAGCTTTGAATTGCAATCTTCAGATCTCATCCTCCTGAGTAGCTGTGATTACAGGCGTGAGCCACCAGAGCTTGTCATAAATATTTATCTCTAAAATTATTAAATGAAAAAAATTATTGAATGAATGTATAATAGAAGGTGTTATGTAACAATCTGTGTCAAACTGACTGAAAGCAGACTTTGGGAGTATCTCAGCAGTGAAGTTCCTGCCTATGCAAATCCCCAAACTTATTGTCTAAACCTCAAATAAAACAAACTTATAGAAAAGTTCAATGGAGTTAATGAGGCCTACTGATCTTTTATTGTTAGTTCACTAAACAAATATTGCATAAGGTACAATTGCTAATGTAGCGTAACTGAGATAGCAGAAAATGAATGTTTTCACCCCGTTGTGCAAGAATAACACTTGATTTTTCTTCATTACCCCATGAATTGTGCTAAGTGTAATGAATGGAAGTATTAAACTTGGAAATAAAGTTCAATACTTAGCACAAAACAAAGTGTTATTCCTTATTATTTTGTCACATAGTAATCTAAACACATATTACCTTGAAACATATTTAGATCCAGGTAAGAAGAGTATTCTAGCAAGTTCTTTCCTGTAGATCACAGGGATTTCAGAGATCTGAAGACATCCACCATGTTTGACCTACACCAGGAGACATGGTGTCAGGTCAAGCAGTAAACCTGTGTCACTGCTCATTCCTATATGTAACCCGCATCAGTCCAGAATTCCATCGTGTCCTAAAATTATGAGAGAATCAGTGTAAGGCCTAGCCTTATGCACATCAGCAGTCATCCTAGAGATGATTTAGTCAATGTTCAAATAAAATGTACATTGCAGGAAGTGGTGCTGTAGCTCAAGTGGTAGAGCACTCGTCTTGAGCTGAAAGCTGAGGGACAGTGCCCAGGCCCAGAGTTCAAGACCCACGACCAACAAAAAAAAATGTACAGGAGGGGGGACCAAGATGGCGACGGGGCAGTAGGGAAACGCCACAGCTCTCTCCAACCAAAAAGAGAGTTCGAGCTCCAACGCTTAATCTCCCCAAGAGACCGACAACAACAAAAAGACGAACACTCAGAGAAAAACCAGAGGTGG